GAGAAGAAACAGTGGAGAAAAGGCCGCGCCATTATCTCGTACTTTCAGTCCTTGAGCGGCAATCTCCTCCGCATTACCAGCCGAGCCCTTGACATTATCCTGCAACACCTCCTCCCCCAGCATCCAGGTCAACTATCAATTCCAACACTGTGGTCCCATTTTCACTGCTACCTCACCGACACGCCGCCCGACATCCCCCTACATGCCACCAATGACGATCTTGTTGGCTTCTTCAACTCAGTTCCACAGCGCCGCCTGATTGACGCCGTCCACTCCCTCATTCAGCAATGGCAACGCCAGAACGACGCCCACACGCTTACCGTTGACACCAAAGCCACTGGCAACCCTTTCCACCACTCCCACATCGGCAGGCACCACCAACGCCACCCTACACAACGCACCATCCACACTGCAGACATTACAACCATTGTGGCATATGCACTTGACACCTGCATTTTCCGGGCATGCAACAACACCTACAAGCAAATCCGGGGGGCTGGGATTGGCTCCCAGCTCTCCCCTGCCCTTTGCAACGTTGCCATCACCCTCATCGAACACTCCTGGCATCAACTTCACAACAATCTCCTTCAACACACTGCCCTCCACTTCGCGTACTATCGCTACGTGGACAACCGTTTCATCGTCCACAATGAACACTTCCTTTCACATCCCGCCATCCAGACCCTCATCCACAACAACTTTTTCGGCGATCCCGTCGAATTGGAGACGGTGGAGGACTTCCACCTTCTGGGGTTCAACATTGACCTCCAGCAACGCACCATTACTTACATACAACCCACCCAACCCTGGAAAATCAGGGACAACACAAGCGCCGGTAGCCAGCGCTTGGCTCTGTCCGGCTTAGCTTCAAGACTTCACTCCATCTATACCTACACTCAACGCCACCGCTGCGGCTGAAGCCCTGGTCAACCTGTACGCCCGAAAAGGGCATGACCTGCATGCGCGCAGGCGGTTTTTGAGAGAAAAAGATCCATGTTTCCACCGCTTGCTCTGTGCGCCGATCACGGCTTGTTGTGTGTGTCACACCCTGGTTCTAAGGGTTTTCCACGTTCTCATCTTTCCACTACAACAGAGGCCGGTTCCATTTTTCCACTGATGCAGGGGCGACAGAGTCGCTGCATGGCTGTCGCCAACGAAGCTCCATGCAGTTGACTAGGATATCACGGCTGATCACCGTGACGTACCTGCAACCGAAACCTTTGACCACGCTGTCTAATCTGCTTGGTTTGTTTCCATGGTTTTTCATGATACCTTCCCCCTAAACCATTTCCTCCCCAGCAGAGGTGCAGCTTGAGCCGCTTCGTCACCGCAGTCAAGGGAAACAACCATTGTTCAAACACCTACAATTTCTCGGACTTTTCGCCATACTGTTCCACCGCCTTCCTTCCCAACGTGGCAATTGAGTCTAACTGAAAACCCAAGTTCGAAGTGTGTGTCACCCCCTGTACCAAAGGGTCCAATGCCACCGTTTCCATTACCACCACTTAACAAGGCAGGGGGCCATCCCCCTCCCCAGTGGCGGATGGCCAACGA